GGGTAAGCAACGGTGGGAAACATTTATTCATCAAGTGGCTATTTTAACTGGTACTTACAAGCGTGACAACAGCACAGTTGCTAGGATGTTGCACGTATGGTGGAAACGCGGGGGCGCTTACTGACGCGTGTTGAACTTCCTTCTCATTCTATTCGTCTGATAGTGCTTGAATTTCGCTGTGGCGATTAGCCCACATGGCTAGTTTTCGAGATAGCCTGCCAGGTCGAGGTGTGCAGTATCGACAGAAGGCGATGGCGGCACAGTTACCTTCCTCATTAGTCCCTTCATTGCTGGGAATTTGCGCACGACACGCATTTAATCTCTGTTGGACGAAGCATTCATCCATTGGTTTAACTGCTGTTAGTCCAACTTTCGGCTTATAGTGCAGACACTATCTGAAATCAGCAGCAGTTTCTCAACTAGCCTCATCTTGTTTTTCCAGTGAAACGGATTGCCGACATTATTCCCCAAAACGTGAATATAAACAACGTGATGAAATATGAAAACTACACACAAGATCTAACGCAACGGCTGCGGTGGTATTCTCGGGCGAGCACATTCGAGATATTTGCGACACTCGATTTTAAATTAAGCACGCACCAACAGGGAAAAAAAAGAAAAGCTGCCAGCAGTTACCCTGATGCGTCCGACACATATACCCATTCTGGGCGCCAAACAATTCCACCTTTCTAAAGGAATCGATCGTGAACAACGCAACAAGATATGCAATTACGCTGTCGTATACGTTTCATAAGCGCGACATGATTGCGAGGCGCGCTGCAGAGTATTTGTGGTAACTTCGCATTTTTTTAACCTGCTGCACATGCATTGTCTTTCACTTCCATCGGAGTGCGGCTACAGTAGCTTAGAATTCAACCCGGCAGCGCGACACTATAACAAACCTCATCAAAGTGTGTACGCTGCTGGGATTGCAGACACTCTTGGCGATTCTACTGTAAAAAAAATGTTTAGCTTTTCATTGTTTTACTACGAACATCATTGATACTGCTTTTGTAATTTATTTCAAGCGTGAGACAACCAAAAAGTTAACGCTGGCAGTGCAACGGCGTTGAAGCGAGCGCGTGTTTTGTATACGCGTGCCACATCAAGATTCGAAGAGTCCTTGCCATGACGTCACGCAAGACTCCCACCAGGCGGCGCCACTCCTACTTCTCGGGGCTAATCGAAGCTATTGGAGAACGTTGGCACGTTCATGAGCAGAACTGCGTAATTAGTCATGGAGGCAATTGGCAGCAGCGCTGCAGCCGTCTGAGCGGGGCTTGTGGGACTTGTAAGCTAAGCGACATACCCCCGTACTCAGAAACGCTCCTCGACTCGCATTCCATCCTTCACTTGACTGAGTTGAGAACTGCGCCACTGCTCGACTGAAATTAAAGTTGCACTTCTCAAGAATTGCTGCATATTATTGCCGATATGCAGTGACCCGGTCCACCAAGAGACGGCGCTCCCATCGACTTTTTCGAGTCGAGGAGAGGCCTTGAGTTAAGGAGCGTTTCTGAACACGGGGGTTAGCCAATTTTGTCGGTGAACCTGCAACATCTAGTATGGAACAGCAGAATGCACATCTGGCAAGCTCGGACAACTCGCTTGCTGGATTTCGTGCCGACCAGCTGTGCCCCCGTGATCTCCGACGACAGCGCAGCTCCGGTCGACTGGGCTCCTTCTACGCCATCTCCGGCCGCCAACATGAGCTCTCACTGAGTGGTGCCTTATCCTCGGACTCCTGCGACCGTTTTCATCTTTGCTATTTTCTCTTTACTTCCGTCGCTCACTGTCCCTGCGCCTTGCTCTCTCCTTCCTCTCTCGATATATACAGTTCATCCTATCCTTTTTGTCTCTCCTTACCCCCATTCCTTGTGAGCTACTCTTGAAGTGTTGCACTCTGATGCAGACTGTTACGGGGCTCACTTTTCTCTTCTTTTATCTTTAGGAATCACACAATAAAAGAAATCTCAGACCCGGAAGGGCCACTTGCACTCCGAGATCATGTCCGGCAGGCGGCTAAGGCCAGCCGACCCCAGGACTTAGGCTATAAAAGCTGCATGATCCACCTCTCCCTTTTCCCCGTGAAAAATGTTTCTATGTATCGTTTCAATAGTTCTCAGAAAATAGAAAGGGGATAATGCGTACTCGCGACGAGTAGCAGCGTAACTAAAAGCGTAGCACTTCATCGTAAAAATTGAGCCAGCAACTTCGTCAAGTACCCTCTATCTGCTACAAAAATATCATAAAAATATTAAATAATCCAAATGATTCTCAGCGTAAACGACACCTCTTATCTGTACCTTTAATGCAATAATCGCAACTTGAAATATCTATGAAATATTTCGTCACTTTAAGACCGACATAAAAGCACGTGATTACCCATAAATATTCATATAGCCAAAATACTTGAATCAGTAGTTTTGTTCATTATTATCTTACCTTGCCGAAGCAGTCAACAAGGAGGCTTGATGCTCTTGAGTAGAAATCCCGCGCTCGGCGAGTCAATTCAGATTTGACAATGCCTGGATGCACACAGTTCACCGTAATACCTGCGTCGAATGTTCAATGATATTGTTTCGATTGGGTCGTTAACATTAAAGAATGTTGAATAAAAGCTATATTGCACGTAGCAAAAGTGCATAATTTTAAGTAATATATGCATGCGGTAAAACCAGCTAGCAGTCAGGTAACTTGGGATCAAATGTACTGCTGCATAATAAAAAGAGAAAAATCTGAATTGTTGATTGATGTGTGGGGTTTAACGTTCCAATACAACCATATGGGTATGAGAGACGCCGTAGTGGAGGGCTTTGGAAATTTCGAACACCTGGGGTTCTTTAACGTGCACCCAAATCTGAGCACACGTGCCTACTACACTTCCGCCTCCATGAAAAATGCAGCCGCTGCAACCTGGATTTGATCCCGCCACCTGCGAGTCAGCAGCCGAGTACCTTATCCGCTAGACAACCGCGGTAGGGCGAAAAATTCTTAGTTGCTTAAAGCCATCATGGCAGCTCATTTTTGGGCCTAATTTCATTTAGGTGGATTAATTCTTGAGCGTTTACGAATAAGCTGGGGAAGGTCTAGCGTACTTGGTCTGGTATTCAAATAATTATTGAGTATTCTCACAAACAAGCAAGTGCCCTGAGAGTCGGCGAACACTAGGGCACTCACAAGTCGTGAGGTAATAAGCAGCGGGCTGTGCGAGCGTCTGGATTTCGGCGAACTATGTTCTCTCTGCGTCAGTTGGGCTTAAAATCAATATATTTGAGATTACTTCTGTTTAGCACTGAAATTGAATGATTTGCAGCGTCTGAACTGGTGGTAGAAGGCCATGGGAAAGCTGTTTGCGACAGGTAACGTAACATGTGTATTGTTGCGTGGTATTTACAACCAAATGTGTGACATGTGCGGATGATGGGTTGCATTTGCAACCGGAAGCATTGAGGCCCTGTTCTGCGCTGAAATATTCGCTCATGGCCAACTTTTTATAAACGTACAGGCATAATAGAACCTACGCTTCTAGATTTAACTGAAAGCTAGAAATTGTTGAATGATCGAGTCATGGCTTCTTAAAGAAAAGCAGAGAGAGTCAGAGAGAGTCTTTATTAGAAAAACTGAGATTTTGGCCGGTGTCTATATACCGCTGACATGCTACTTTTTGTATATTAATGGGGATGGGACTAAAACGTTCCAGGAGAGGAAAAAAATAACAGTACCAAAGTTTTTAACCATTCTTACTGGTCATGAAATTTCTGCGCAGCTCAGTGGGAGTGCGTCATATACCGCCCGCACTTTTCATGCCGTGGCGCTGGCGTAGCTGGATGGGCGACGAGAAAACTGGCTGCTTAGCAAAGTGTAGACCATAGATGGTTAAAGCGACTAACTTCAGTGAGCGGCTCCGAACGGCTCAGCCTAATAAAGTGAACCGGTTATGTTCAGTGGCTCACTCGTTCCCCAGGGGTCGGTTAATATGTGTACCTCCAATAGGACGCCTCACTTCGTGGCGTCAGATTGGCCGTGCCAAATGCCATTTTATTTAATTACTTGGCGAGGGAGATTCAAAGCTACAAGTTTCATCAAAGGGCATGCTGCATCTGCCATAAAACAAAAGATTGAACTGCACTCACAACACAAAAAGTATTTCGCCTCATTTTATTGCCGTTTTTGAAAATCTTCATTCCTATGAAATGTAGTGCGAAACAGGCTCAAGCGATTAACAGATTAACCACACATTAACATACATGCACACCAAGAAAAATTTTTTCGCAGGTACAGTATAATAGAAATTTCAAATATGTGTGAGTTCCACATCCTGCGATCATTTTACATATGTTCTTCTTCATTTCAACAATTTATCGAGTTAGCGGCTGCACTGCAACGCAATAGACACGCTATCAATACTTGGAATGTTGGAGGCTGGCATATATTATGCTTTCGCACTGACTAGATATTTAGGACATTAAAATATAAGCACAAACATTCACATAAACCTTCGATGGAGACATTACGTGAAATATTTCTGAATTACCAATGCATTTATACATTTAAAATATTTCTTCAAGTTGTACTACATTTCGCAGTATGCCTTTGCGTATGGTTAGCTACCATGCTTTTCCTAATTATATTGTGTTTATAATATTGTCTCTATCAGTTTACTGACACAATTACACGTTTATTATTGCTGTTGTTTTCTTGTACTAGTAGTATTACAAAATCTTTTCTGTAAAGAAATTTGAGTATTAAGCTATAGCTTGTTTGTGGTTAGAAATGTGTTCATTCAAAAATAATTCGCTGTTACGCTTATACAGGTATTGTTATACGCTTTGCTTTTGTAAATATTTTTTCTATCATGTGCCATTATGACTTGTACATTCGGTGCAAATATTTTGAGCTTTCACTTGTTGCCATGTGATTGGTCGTCTGGGCCTTAGTCAAGCTGTTTCATTACAGCTTTCAGCTCAGGAGACAATTCAGAATGTAATGTTTTCATTTTATTCTGGAAAATATAGATAAAGAAAGAAAGAGAGAAACCACATTCATACTATCAATTAGGTAATAAATAAATGCTCAGAATATAGCCAACCACTATACATAGCCTTCATAGATTACAAGAAAGCGTTGGATCGAGTAGAAATATCAGCAGTCATGCCGACACTGCGGAATCCGGGCGTCAACAAAGCATATATAAACATCCTGGAAGAAATATACAGGAGATCATTTGCTGTCATAGTGCTTCATAAAGAAAGCAACATAATACCAATCAAGAAGGGTGTAAGGCAGCGGGATACAATCTCCCCAATGCTATTTACCATAGTGCTTACAGCAGGTTTTCAGAAGCCTAGAATGGGAACAGTTAGGGATAAGAGTTAATGGAGAGTACCTTAGTAACCTGCGCTTCGCCGATGACATTGCATTGCTGAGTAACTCAGGGGACGAACAGCACCTTATGATTACGGAGTTAGACAAGGAGAGCAGAAAGGTGGGCTTTAAAAGTAATCTGCAGAAAACGATAGTAATGTACAACAACTTCGAAAGAAAGCAGCGCTTTGAGATAGATAACAGTCCACTTGAAGTTGTAAAAGACTATGTCTTCTTAGGGCAGGTATACATGTTGTCTTTCCGCAAAAATAAGCGTCGCTTCAAAGTTGGCGCCTTTATCATCTCACTCGCCGGTTTATTGGCGTCCTATTTGCCTTATTTCACAATGCGAGGCAATGCCTAAAGTTAGTTAGTATCAAGTTATGAATGCAGGAGGTGCATTTATAATGTGTAGTGGCAGGCTTACCCGTGTTAGCCAGTTTTCGTGCCAGCTCCATCGTGAAAAGGGCCACGTAGAGCTTTGCCTTCGGGTACACCTGGATTCGACGGTATCGTTGGAAGCCCACGTCAGCGTCGAACGTCGCAAACCAGTGAGCAATGGAGCCCACATTTATAATTCGGCTTGGCGAGCTCTTCTTAAGAAGCCCTTGAAAAACATAGATACCTTTAAAGCAATCATAATAAGAATTTGCATTGTAGATGGTTGCACAGTAGAGGATGAAATATGAATGCTTAGAAGAGAAAGTGGAACGCCACTTTATTTATGAGCGCTTCGTCGGCATTACATCGTAATAAGAAGCGGAGTGATTATAAAAACTTACCCAGAAGCAGGTTGGTCAGCAAGAAATGACCCAAGTAGTTCGCTTGGAATGTCGTCTCGAATCCATCCTCTGTCTCTGTTTTTGTTGGCGGAGCTGCACATTTCCAAATTAAATGGTTACACGCAATGAAGATTTGAAATTCTGAATGTGCTCTTATGATTTAGCGTATTAAATTTCTGCTGTGGATGTACTGTGTTCCTTCACGTGTCTAGGAAAAAAGACTAATCAAGAATAAAGTTAATCGGTGACGTTTAGAGGTAGTCGAATGGTTTGGCATCGTACGCTGTGTTCTATGAAATTATGCTTAGTGTACACCCACATAGTACTTATAGGGATTACTTTTTTAATCACAGATGCACGAAATAAATTACATATGATGAACCTTTGGTTTTGTGAATCACTTCGTAGAAAATATGACAATACAGGCTGCCCATTCCCAACTTCTTGGTAGCACCTAGTATGCTTAATTTCACTCAACTAGCTTCACATACTCTGAACTAAATAGTGCTCAACATAGGCTTACATGCTGTTTACAAGCTTACTTATCCGACAAAACCTATTGGTTATTCGGACACTATATATCACAGTACTTAGAGTATAAACATCGATTCATGCTTGCATCCAGGTCCAGTGGGTCGAGGTCCTGCATTCAGGCCTCAGACCAAGACGCCAGGGCTTAGTCGAGAGTCGCCGACCGATCGGTCCTCCTGCAACATGCAGGCAAGCGACGCCTCCCACTGCTCTCCCTTTATGGCTGATTCTGACATAACAATGCAATGCGATCAAGAGATGGCCGCCGGCAAACCATGGGGAATGGCTGGGATGCATCGTGCGGTATATGGGGTGTAGTGAAAGCAATTGTACAAGGGGGGGGGGGGGGGGCAATAGTTCCAAGGCCATTGTCCCATGCATGTATGTTCATGGCAGCGAGGCCTGGGAACGTTTTTTCCACCATACATATTCTCAGCTTGCGCAAGTTGATCATCTGAGCTGAGTAACAGCATGGATATGCAAAGCTATATCGTTGCTTCCGAGTCTTTCTGAATGTATACATTTTGCTAAATTAGAGAGTGTAAACGCAAGCGGTTAGTTACTGAGATGCTATATTCTCCAGTGAGGTGGTCCACATTCTCGTGCCCGTCACTCCGGCGTGCGCCGGACACCTTGAACTAGCATGGTGACCCATGCGATTTCTGTTTAGGATATCTTAGGGAAGTAATGCAGGGTGCCTGCTATAAAGAGGCGGCATACTGACTGTAAGTTGGCAACTATATTAAAGCTGGATGCCCTCGTACTCAGTGTCCTGTGAAGTCTCTCAACTTTTATCACAAATCTTTATAAAAGCACGCAATCTGCATGCAGATCAATTGGATTTTAGTATGCTGACCGAGAAGAAATTTTGAAATTGCACAAATTGATAAAGTTGCAATGACGACCGTTTTGTGCAGAACAGACAGCCTTAGCCTTGCGTTTTCCTGCACCGATGTTGACGCTGGAAAGCGCTTTATGCATTGTTCAGAAGCCCAATTTTTTCTGTTGCGAATAAATCTGAATGCTTGTTAACGCATTTTTAACGCATTAGCAGTCGCCAGCTTGCTCCCCCCTGTTTCCTCTGTAATCTTGTGTGTCTGTGTAGGCAAATAAATAAATAAATTGACATCATTTGAAAATTTACATTTTGGCATATGAAGAGACACATTAAGCACTTGATTTGAAACTTGATTGATATTGTCAGGAGTATTATCACTACCTTTCGAGCTAGCATTTTTGATGTAGTGCACATGGTCTTCCGCAGGTGCATTTTTGGTATCTGCTCCAAGTTTGTGCCAAAACGCACTGATGAAGATGTCCGATAGATGTAATGTTCTTCACGAAGATAATGGTAATCAACTTAAGAGTTTCCTCTATCGCTCGTTACTTTTGGTTAATTGATCTCTCTATATGCCCTTAAGACAAGCTGCGCATACATATCTGGTAGGGCAGTGAAAGATTGCCAAAATGGCCACAAATATGCAAACGATGACCTCTTTACGGTGAGTGTGTGCAAATATTCGGAAGCACGTCACGCAGCACGTGTTGCATGACATGACTTCAAACGCCGTGCGCGCAGCTTTGAATGCTTACTGTGTGAACAACTAGCACTAATTTATTGTCATTGTGCAACGCATTGTTGCAGAGGAGACGTTATCATGTTCAACGATCACTTGGGGCGCCGTGTTCTAGCACAGACTTTAATGTTATTATTATTTTTTGCTCAAGACACGCACGAACAGGAAATAAAGTGGACATAAATTATCAGCCTACTATCTGATTCTTTTTAGGCAGGTACCGAATTTGTGTGATCGCAGAATAAGCATATATTGCATTACACGCTATCTGTACAGAAATTCGCCAAGGACACATTACCTCATTTTTTTTGACGGGGATGTAATATCGAGGGCCTTGACATTATGTTACGTTATTCCCAGGTGGTCCGTCCTAAATCGCACATGAAGCGGATATTTTGGACAATTACTGGAGCGCACATGGAAAGATACTTGATTTTTATACATAGACAGAAGAATATAGAAGCGTTTTGTCTTCGGCAGCAAGGTGACTATACGCTTTAGTTGGTACTAACATTCTGATAAGGGCTCTGCAGAATCATATTGTCATGTGGTCGTGATGCCGACGTAGGCAACAGATGGCCATTCGAAGAGGAAGCTCTTCATTTGCAAGAACTTGTGGCCAGAAAATGAAAGGTCAGCCTACAGCCATACGAATTGGCACTGATAGTGTTGAAAACAGCTTCGGCCAAGGTCAATCTAATTAGTTCGTGACAGTCAGAACGAAAAGTGGTCTGAAACTTATTGCGATAGACATCAACACCACTTGACGATTGAAGTGTGACTAGGTGAGGGGGTAGAAATATTGAAAACAAAAAAAACTAATTAAACGTTTATATTCAATACTTTAAATTTTATTTATTACGAAAATTTACTTTGACATATGGTATCGCGCCCTTTATTTTTTTCGTTTGATTTCGGAAACAGCGGGCTAATGCAGACAGTCTGGTAACATGGCCCAACAGATTTGGGGGCGTATCTATGATGGCTAGAATGGGGAGGTGTGAAAAGCAGCCGCCGAAACCGATCCCCAAAGCGCGCCGATGCCACTTGGGGCGCTGCATGCACCGGCTCGGGTAACATTGCGGAAGAAACCAACGAGACGCACGCGCCGCTATCCACAAAAAATTGCTCCCACGCTGTGCGGTGGTGACCCGTTTTCGGTAAAATCATTTTCATCGAGCAAATGTAGGGCAGTACATAGCACTTAAGCCCTTTAAAGTGTCATCTCTTAAAACTATTCTTGAAAAGGCCTTGATATGTTTAGTTTAACGTCCCGAAACCACCATATGATCATAAGAGACGCCGTAGTGGAGGGCTACGGTAGTTTAGACCACCTGGAGTTCTTTATCAATTATACTCCAAGATCAGAAGTTTGAATCAATGCGCCCGCGCTGCGGGAGCCAGAACATAATTTTAAGAAACCTCGTATTTGAAATTGACATGTCCTAAATCATTTGCTAAACATGGTTGTAGTACCATAATTTATCTTGCTAAGATAAACGTCAACCCAAGTGTTTGTCTGACAAGACACGAGGAATTGAATGTGGATGTTACACATTCTTTGAAGCGTTTAGGATGAACATTGTCCTACAGGCTACCTTACCTATTAACCACCTTAAACCACGAAGACATTGACACTTCATCCCTTCTTGTGCCATTGAGAACTTCCTATGTATCTATTTGAATATTGCCTTCATATATTCATATATTCGCCTTTGCAGAAGAGCTCTGACGTTTCTTTATAGCTACGTACACGAGTTTCGCGGTAATGTTTTCTACCATAAAAAACAGTAAGTACGACAAAAAACAACATGACTGCACTCTCGCGCTGCCGCACGGCAGCAAGACCATATACACGAGTAGTAATAATCAGTTGCAAACTGCTTATTTGAAGTTTGCACCATTATACGTTTTAGCAATATGTACGGCCCGGCCCGGGCCCGATGCTTTTCGGAGGCTAGCCAGCCCGGCCCGATGATGTGTAGAGGACGGGCCGTCTAGGGCCGGCCCGGCGTCTCATGCCCAAAGCCCAGCCGAGCCCGACTTGGCCTGACTCGATGAATGACGCAATAAAATACATGGCAACAGAAAAAATGAAAATGCATTTATTAAAAAAAGCGTGCCGTCCACCCTGTAGCTTTTTTTCAATTGTTGATAAAATTCAAGACTGAGTGCGATACCATTCGTAAATTATCATGCAGAAACAAAAGGTTGTCCATCGATTCGGGCTTCAATCGGGTATATCATTCCTGCATTATATATCCTGCAGCACGTTCTTGCAAAATCATCCTTGCAAGTTTGGCAAGTTTGGGATAGTTCTTTTTTTTTTCCTTTTTAAATCTCAAGAAGTTCTGATTCGGAGCACGCGCTTAGTAATTCGGTACGCAAGTACTCGCTAACTTCATTCCGGGTTTCCTCCAAAAAAGCACATATATGAACAACGAGGATTCCGGCACATTATTTATTTTTTGGGGCTTGACTCGGGCTTTTTACTAGGCGCGAGCGTGGTCCGATAATTAAATTGGAAAGCCCGAGTCCAGCCCGGGCCCGAGGTGGAAAGATGTCGGGCTGCCCGAGCCCGGCGCGCGAGCCGGGTTGGACTCGGGCTTACGGGCTACCCGGAGCCCATGCACATCTCTAATACTTTTTGATATGAAAGTTTGTTAGAAAACTTCAAAATCATGTCAGCCACATACTTAAACTATAAAGAAACATGAAGGCTGATTTCGATATTCCAGAATGTAGTCTCGCTTTGACGTTCCTCGCCGGAACTGGAGAAAGTTGACGGCAGGACCACACGTTGTGAGAAGTTATTGAATGATGTTATTGAGTTATTGAAGAGGTTATGATATGACGTTATTGAAATTGCTCTATCATTGTCCATCAAGATGCCGCACTGAACTCAGCTTGGCCGATTGAAGGAAACTTGCGCGTCGGGTTTCGTTTGCAGATGTAAAGTTTGGGGTCAGGTTTGAGAAACATTTTCTATTGCGCGCACTCACGCAAAATGCCAGCGTTGTTGATAAGCACGTCGAGTCGCTCCTCCTGGGCGACCACCTGAGACGCGAACTGCCTGATGGAGGCGAAGGAGCAGAGGTCCAGGCGCATACACAAGGGTCGCACGCCGGTGTCACGCCCGATCTCCTCTGCAGTTGCACGAGCCTTGTTGACGTCTCTGCAGGCCAGGATAACGCGAGCCTTGCGCCGGCACAGCTCACGGGCAGTCTCCTTGCCGATTCCTGTACTCACAGAAAAATGTTGGTTTTATTATTATGACTGGAGCACGTCTAAGTATTATGGAACTGCAGATATTGCATATGTTCTTGGTATCTGAACCGCTCGCACACAGTCCACAACTTTCTGAAGGTTGCACCTGGATCAAGTGAAGCTGCCTTAAGATTCTAAATTTTGTTTGTAGCAGCTGTCTTTTGACAATTCGCCTGCATAGTACTTTTTATTTTTTCGTAAACGCTTACCTCAAGGCGTAATATTGCCAGCTAATGGGAAATAATGATATGTTTTGCATGGCACATGCAAACCATCCTTATGGCTCGATTTCTATAGGTTTATTTGAAATCATGCGAACAGATATCAGCCGTCTGGTTAGCACTGCTGACAAAGCTATTGACCAAAAAGAGGTGCTATTATTTTTGCCCTCAAAGTTGTTTGATGCCCCACGGAATGTTTCTTAGGCTCAAATGCCTAAAGGATTATGTTTATCCTCAAGAAAAAAGTGGCGAATGAACAACATGTCACTGTGTAGCGAGGTCTGATAGCAAAAGTCAGAAATGTTGGGGTGACATCTTATTTTTAAAAAGGCACAACGGAAAAATGCCGCTGTGGCTGAAAATGTGGACAGTTGTGGTGTGATTGTTGAGGTCACATCATTTTTGTGTGTAATTTCGCCGCTGACTATGCGGCAAATAGGATGCGCTTTCACACTAAAAAATAGGCAAACAAACCTAACGTTTACTCTAAAAGTATGATTTCCTATGTTTTTAGGCAAATACGATTCTTCTTGCCATTTACTTTTGTTAGCATAAGCCTCTTAAGTGTGCGTTTGCTCATTGCTTTTTTATTCATCAGTATTAAAAAAAAGACCACTAAAAATGCCGCCTGCATCCTCCCATGGGGGGAACTCGAGTAGACGTGTCCCAGAGTGGTGGTGGTATTGCGTGAATGTTGCGTCATTGGGTAGTGTTCGGGAACACTTCATTGTTATTTCGTCTTTGTTATTCTTATTCATTGAATGTAGCAGAAGCATTGGCTTCAAAGAGTGGTGAGAAGCCGATGTGCGAGCTAGTGCCTACATATACGGGGTGTCCAGTGAACGGTTGTGCAGCTCGAGCAGCCAGTTTTTACTAGCAGGCGTTGCCAATTGAGGAGCCACATGTTGTCACACCACCCCTATTAATCCGCATGTTGCACTAATTTTGTTGGTGAGCGATAAAGGGCTGTATTTTTCAGTTCATGAATAATTCCCAATGCATCGCTTCGCTGAAATCTTTCCTTTAAAAGAAACTCCATTAGTTACTGAAGGAAGCCGTGCGATTCTCTTACCAGCGTTGGCTCCGGTGATAATTACTGTCTTTCCCGACATGTCCCTTGCCGATCTGCATTTGCCTATGGTGACCAAGCTGTATATCTTTAGAAACATGGCCATGGCGAAAACCATCAGCACAATGGAAACCAAGCAGGAAGGTAAAGTCATGACAGCGGTATCAACACCGAGGGCTTCGTGGTCTTTGTCTGAAAATAGAATTCGTGCCAATCGGTCTGTGCATCAGCTTGGCAGAAGTACCACTACATAAGAATTTAAAGAAAAAAATGAGTAAACAAGCGTATATTTAAGGGCTCCTACTTCCGTGTATCACATGATAACAATATGAACTAAAAGTTAATAATAGCAAGGAATGCATAGGGGAGGTTATTAGAATTCATTGTGACGTAAATGTGAATAAAGCTATGTGAAAGACAGGGCAACTTGCCACCCCTAAGGACCGAGCGTGCAACCTAACATATGTGCGTTTAACATATGTGCGTTTAAACGTGTGAGCGTTAGTCAGCGCCCCCGGCAGTGATTACGGTGAGTGTGAAACACTTTCTTTTTTGCCTGTTGGCTTATGGTATCAAACAATCTCTGAACAATCTGACAGCTGACCAATAATCCCTCGCATACTGCCTTGAGGTATCAAGTCTGCCATTACGAGATTGTCGCTATGAATTAGTGATAACTAGAAAACAATAAATTTAGTGAAATTAGTGATAACTAGCAAATAATGATGCCAAGGAACATATAGACGTCATTACAAGTAATTGCGTTATAAGTGCCAACAAAGAAAAGAGTACAAAAAGATAACTTTCCACCGGCAGGGAGCGAGCCGGCGACCTTCGATTTACGCGTCCGATAATCTGAGCTTCAGCGGCGGTCATCGTTCCGCCCACTTTATGCGCGTTTACACGTCAGGGTTAGCACCACCATTAGTCATTATTACGACGAGTGTGAAACGCTTTTATTTTTTGGTTGCTGGCATCACGAAGCATCTAGTCTTCTTACGAGCTTGTAGCACACCTTTAATCATCCACATACGACTTGTAGGCATGAAGTTTGCCAGAACAAGATTGCTCTGTATGTCTGCAGAAAAAAACTTTAAATTTCATAGTTCTTTTTTCGTTCTTAGCCAATGTTAGAACTATCTGACACTGAGGCTAAGGAATTAATAGGGGATAATATTACAAGTAGTTACAACGTAATTGTGAGAAAATAAAAGTGATGGAAAAGATAACCTGCCCTGGCAGTGACTGAAACTTCGACCTTTGTGTGACCGCGTGGGGTACTCTACCGCTGAGCTACGATGGCAGTCATCCTCTTGTCTGCTTTCGGGGTGCATCAAAACGTGCGAGCATCAGTCACAGCAACCGGTAGGGGCTACTGGCAACCGATAGTTTGTCGAAGCCATGAAGATCCTGCTCTGCCGATGACCACGCTGTGGCGAAAGCACAAGCACAATCCACCAGCTGACAGCAGTCCTGGAGACTAACCTTGGCCGCCAGAAAACCTTACAAAAGCAGATTTGCAGAAAGGCGACGCAGCCGTGATCCGATGCAACGTCCTCAATGTGATAGAACATCACGAAACACAGAACTTCACGTGTGTAACGGCCGTAGTGAAACCATTCTGTTCGACGCCGGGACTGACCATTCCGTGATCAGCGGCTAAGCAACTGACTTGCACAGCTACGAACTTGCTTGATGTTTTTTTTTATGCTGATCACTCAATAACATAACTGGGTGTTTTGGAATGGGTACACCTTTAGAACGACGACTCGTTGTGCAATTCATGTTCTTTGATACCTGGAACATCTCTGCGCTTCTGTCACAAAATAATATACGTGTTAAGAATCCTCTTTCCTCTGCTTGGTGTTCATATGGTGTACAATTCTAGATGCAAAGCAGCTCGTTGATTAGCGTGTGTAACGCCTTCCCTCCGTGAGCACCGCGCTCCCCTGGCCGCATGTGTTGGGGTGGTGCAAAGTAGGTCACGGCTTCCCTCGCAGTGCGCGCTCATTGACGTCACCCTTTTCCTTGCCTATCGCCGCTCGCATCTTGTCATTTCTCTCGCTTCACCTTTTCTACCGCTTGCAAATTTCGAGCGCACATCAAGCGAACAGTCTTTCTGCGATGAAACTTATAGCGAACCCAACCCGCGTCCCGTGTCTTTGCGTTTTAAACAAACCTTCACTCGAGTAAAAGTTAGCGAGTTTCACTTCAAAACATTCTTCCAGCACCCGCGTCGATGCCCGCTTCATCCAGGTCAACGCCGTGCGCACCGCCGCCGCTTGGCATTCCATCAGGGTTCACTCGGGGGAGGTGATGTGTAATTTTTTCCGAAGCCGTCTCAAGCAATGGCGTGGGCTTTGTGGCACCCCACTCGCTTGCCGCGCGAAATGCCTCGGTTCGAATATTACTCGAGCTGGAGATTTTTACCACTTATTTTATTTGTAGCTTACTGAATTTTTAGGTGACGGTGAACGCGTATTTTTCGCTCACAACCAGCAACGTCCGCACTGACGCTGGCGCCGGAACCTCTCCGAAACAACTCCTTTAGCACCCTCGCGTGCAAAACACAACTTGCGTGGAAATGAACAATGTAGCTCACTGCCTATATGTAGACAACCCCTAGAAACAATACGAAGTAAAACATACTTACTTTTATGTACTGAAGGAAGCCGCCTGCCCAGGTGTCTGAATTCTTGACAATTGTGACAGCAGGAAGCTTCCCGGCATCAACAGCACAATTCAGTCAGACAAACACACAAAAAAACTCGCCTGTCATGGCATCAACTGTGTTTTGTAAACATCCGCTCATAATTGTTTGTCATTTGTGCGGAACAGTTGCTTAGCGCATGAGCTTACCTTCTTTTGAAGCTACTTCCTGCACGCATACTCACGGAACATTCACGTTGGAGGTAGAAAGGAAACGTAGTTTTGAAAAGTTTTACGCACACTTCACCAGCTGCAGCTGCTCACTCTTGATGCAGGTACTAGAACATGCCGTTCGTAAACAACGACGACAAAAACGCTGAACAAACTATGGTACAATATGATGCCCAACAGATGTAAAGCGCCACACCGCGACATAGAGACATTTGTAAACAAAGCGAAAGGAGGTCAACCCAAACAATTCGTGGCTTCCTACCCTACTTAGTCGAACGCATAGCGTATTATGCCAAGTTAAACACAGTTTAGGGTAGGATGGGGTAAAATGCGACAAAAATCTTAAATTAGTGAATATCTGGCATTGGTTTACTTCTTACAAATAAACATCAATGCTATAACACTTATTTCGGTACCAGGTAAAGGGTACATAAGCATTGTCGTGTTGCCCCGCTTCAAAATATTATTTTAAAACTAACAAATTGCCCCAGATGTCTCAGTTTGCCCCAACCTGCGGGGCAAAACGAGACGGTGCGTGAGACAAAATGACACCGTGTGAAAAAAGTCAGTCCTTCCGTTTATGCAGTAGAAAGACTTGAAATCTACTCTGTGCGCGTTTAAGCAATCTCACAGAGCTCAGTGCTTGTACTCTACGAATTGAATCTAGAGAGAACGTGGCGCTGTGTTGCTCCGAAACTCCTTGAAGATGAAGCACCGCCAGTCTTTCTTTCTGCTATGGTTGTCTTTCGTTGAATGCTTGCACCTCAATAGAATATTCAATATTAGATGATAAGGATGTACTGACGTATCTGCTTCACTTCTTTTTGCCGCTTAGATACGGAACTGCTCAGGTGTTTCATGGCTTTTGTTTTCGAACACCGGGCTTTCCTAGTGAATGAGTTTCAAACTGTTTTAGATGGAGATTTTCTAACGCTTGTTTACTTTCTATTAGGGTATGGAGAAACATAGTTAAAGCTCATTCACAAGACGCGTTCGGGAACGACTTGACTTGAAGGTTCAGCCATTTTTATGCGTCTCTTTGACAGCATCCTTGAGAATACGGAAATCCACGCTGCAGCACGAATAAAGGAAGTCACGGACTGAATGCCAATGTGTGACTTTTTATGTTGTTTACCTCCCAGGAAACTCTATATCATATTCTCTTGTCTAATAATGAACAAAGAAATATAGTTTGTCATGAGTGTAACCGAATGGTTAGATTATTAAGACACTCTTTAAGGCAACGTCTTTTTGTTGGGTTTCACGCCTCTCACATGCCAGAATTCAACAAATAATATCTCAGGTTTGTCCCTTGGCACCAAATGAGTAAACTTTTTGGTGTTAATTATGTAGCTCGTAGCTTGAAATAACAACATAAATAGTTAAATTGCTGTACTGATGTAGAGGTAGCTTCATGCACGGATCCGAAAATTTAGCTGAGCAGAATTTTGCCCATTTGGACAGGTCGCGAACACACTGACACTTTAGCGCAATTTATCACGTGTGATTTCAGCGGGCAATCTTCATCGTGTACATATTCAAATGTAAACAAGGACCAGCACTTATAGCCAGAAAATAGAAACAAAGAAAAGTAGCTCTTGCAGCAGCTAGAGACGCTGGTAAAGTGACAATTTCGCACTTTTATGTTTCTCATTTCACCCCACTTTATCCTAAATAGTATAGAGAAGTGTGATGCAACTATGAAAATGCAAAAGTCACAGCATTGCCGTAAAGGCAAAGCAACGAACATGATAGCAACAAAGTGGAAGGTCACGAGTAGAATGGCAAGGACATCTTAACGTGCTCCACGTTTCTCAGGCACAAATTACGCACGAAACGTACTCACAGGTACAGGTGAACACAAAATTACTTCGCCGTGTCTGGAAAGTGCGCCCTGTTCGCAAACGGAGGCTGTGCAACGATTTTAGTGACCTTTGTGCGCCCCGCAACTACAACAGAGTCGTTCCAGTGCAAGCTCATTGCCTGTCAAGACGTATGATACAGCCGAAACGTATGACCCGGAGATAAGGGCACGCAAGCGATCGTACACTCCCCTCCTCTCCGTGGGCCAAAATACGCGTGAGAGATGAGAGCCGTGCGCGCTCATTGCGCCATCGTGCAGATAATGATGAAGACATGATTGTTCACCCTCACCCTCACCCCCAAGATGCCTGCCAACGGCGGTAACTGGCAGATGTAAATAACTTGCCGTTCGAACGATGAAGGACGTATCCCTAGGTGGCCCAGAGATAAACGCCTCGCATTGACGACGCGGAGGTCGCACTTCCGATTCCGACTTTTTTTCTATATTTTTATGCTTTCTTGCGTTTTCATATATATAAATACGTATACACATATAGTGTATACGTATACACATATACACTCACGCCAACGCCAGCAGCGATATCCAGCCGAGAGGTCCATATAAATGCTATTGCGTTAATCGTGATCATGTGATAAGGCTACCGACTTCATTTGCTGATGATTCAAATTTGGTTTATTCCTTCTGATGTGGGCTTCATATGAGACATAAATTACAGGCTGACAAAAGTGTGTAATCAAGGGCTCATCATTAGACACAATATAAAGAAAATTTACAGGCAATAACGCAAAGAAAAGTAAAGTGGGTGTTATTATAAGTGATGTCAATGTGAAAAACTACAACCAATAACGCGTCCAATGCTCTGCTACAAATCGACGAGAGCGGTGATTTATCTGTCCACTCTACAGGGTATATGCGCGCATATAAAAGGGGAAGCGTCAGTCAGCGCCACCTGTCGCCATTACGGCGAGTGTGGAACACTACCCACCCCCTTTTGTTCGCTTGTGGGCGTCAAGTTGCACGCAAATGTTTTACGAGCTGGCAGCTGAACGAAGGACTCAGGTTAAATTCTACTGAAGAAGAATGGCGATTTGGGCTAGTTGGTTTGAATTCATGATAATAAGGGTTGCAGCGCGAGCACGAATGTGCTAGAAGAAACAGACGAAAGTCGAGGTACGGAAGGCAAAGAGGACAACACGAGCGCTGACTGCCAACTGAATTTTATTATTCGCAGCACACATGATAAGATATACAACAGGCAACCTTTGAACAGCACACGTGAGCAACGTGACATATTCTGGGGAATGTTCTGATAAAAAGAAGGTACAAATATGGCTAACCCTTATCTAGAAGCGCAAACTCTTTGTCTTGCAAGGCCACCGAAGGTTGGCTCACGCATCCGTCACCAGTGTGCTGGCACACCACATGGACAAGTTAACTCGGGAAATAGCTGAAGCGTATTTTATTAAAAAAAAATGGTGACGGATGCGTGAGCCAACCTTCGGTGGCCTTGCATGACAAAGAGTTTGCGCTTTTAGATAAAGGTTAGCCATTTTTGTACCTTCTTTTTGTCAGATCATTCCCCAGAATATGTCACGTTGCTCACGTGTGCTGTTCAAAGGTTGCCTGTTGTATATATTATCATGTGTGCTGCGAATAATAAAATTCAGTTGGTAGTCAGCGCTCGTGTTGTCCTCTTTGCCTTCCGTACCTCGACTTTCGTCTGTTTCTTCTAGCACATTCGTGCTCGCGCTGCAACCCTTATTATCTTAAATTCTACTGGTGGGAAAATGCGTTTTCGTCCGCTTGTCTTGCTTAACATTTACATTACGAACAGAGTATGGTGGTGGTGGTGGTGGTGGTGATGGCACCACCACCACCACCACCACTACGAAAACTTCTAATAACACTCGCTATACTTTCATTGGCAACACTGTTAGCTCCCATTATTATGGTGTCCAACAATGAAAACGAACGCCCTGGCAGGATTAATGCCTTTAGGTAGGGCGCGTTCACACTTGGCCTCGAAGAGAGCGTAACCGATGAAACTCCGGAGACTGGCTCGTTTCACCGCCAAAGCGGCCGAAAACCACGCCACGCGGTCGGCGCACAAGAATCGCTCCGGGACTGATTTTTCCGCCACGCGAAATGGAATCCGGTTTCCACTTCACAGCCTTGGGTGCGATAAAACAAACCAAGTGACCTGACCAGCTGGCCGCAGATTCACCATGGTGGCACAGGCGTCGGCGGTGGCTCGCAACGGCCCATATTGCAAAGTACCTGTGCAGCACGACGAAGCTTTATGGCCTCAACGAGGACGCGTTCATCGCGAGCCTGATTAGGATTACGATCGCCAAGAACTCTGGAAGTAGATGGTGCAGCGGCAGCGAGTCGGCATGCCCCAGCATGTCTCGTTTTTGTGTACAGCTGGTTGAAACCGCGCCGCAGTTGCAGTGCGTTCGCTAGTGTCGTTTCAGCTGGCGTATCTCCCAAAACAACGTTTGAAGAGGTGCAAGCTTTTTTTTCACTACTTTTTGTCAATAACTAGGCTGCGAACTTTAGTTACCAGAAAACAGGCAAAATAAAACCAATTGTCACCCCGCCACGGCGGTGCAAAGGCTAAGGTACTCGGCTGCTGACCAGCAGCTCGAGGGATCGAATCTTGGCTGCGGCGGCTGCATTTCCGATGGAGGCGGAAATGTCGTAGGCCCATATGCTCAGATTTGGTTGCGCGTTAAAGAACCTCAGGTGGTCGAAACTTGCGGAGCCTTCCACTACGGCGTCTCTCATATTCATTTGGTAGTTTTGGGACGTTAAAGCCCACATATCATACTAAATCGAGTTATTGTCAAGGTAGCGACGGAAGCAGCGGCGGGTTGGGGCAGAACGAGTGTGAACAATCGACGCACGCGGTCATGGTTTTGCGGCCGTCATGGCATTTTCGTTTTCTCTTCCCTTCCCTAGTGTGAACGTGGCCTAAGTCTGCGAGTGATTATTTGTCAGCTCAAACATTGATATAAGTTATCCTGCCGTGTGACATCCACAGGTAAGGGGATCGAATTCCGGTGACAGCGGCTGCATTTTCTATGTAGGCAATAATGCTGTTGGCATGTGTCCTGACATTTGGGCACACGTTACAGAACCCTAGGTCGTCAATATTTCTGGAGTCCTCCACTACGGCGTTTTTCATATTTCTAGAGATGGTGGTTTTGAGACGTTAAACCCCACATATCAACGAACCATATAGTTTAATTCAATGGTACACAGCGAATATCCCTTATCGCGTGCATACAGCAATGCTTACGCATCCTGGAGCAGTACACGAGCAACTCATTCGCGCAACTACGAGCGAGTAGATAGCATTGGGGCAAAATGTTCGACGATGCATGTTGAAAGGGGGCTATCTTTAACGCAGTGCGCAGGTTCAGCAACCGACGATAATTTTTCAACAATTGTTCCTATTTAAGAGTCTCAATCACGAGTTCGCCTCATTCAATTTTTGTGATTTCGCCCAAACTTTATAGTGAAGTCTTTTATTGTTATGACTTGACAACGTTAAGTATACGTGCGTTTTACTCACTGTTATTGTAGAGCCCTTCGATGTAGAACATATGTGAACCATGTACACTGTCGACGGGCGCTGCCAGTTTGAGACAGACAGCAAAATATACAAGCATACGCATAGTACTTTGATTTTAACAGTTCATTGTCGTTTATTGACAAAGTCAATGTGAAATTTCGTTGAATAACCTTTACTCTAACACTTCTGTTGTGCACATGAGGATAAGACATATTATATGAATACTAATGGAAAGGTTTATCATTTGAGCCTTACTAAAATTTGGCGCGCACCTCACGAATTTGCACTGCAGTTATTCATCACGCATAAAACTTTATTTTCATAATGGGCTATTGGAAGTTGGAACAATCTTGGAGCAGTAGCTCCCAAATAGACTCCAGGTAAAATTGAAAAAAACCTACATCGTATTTGGGTGCCACTGCTTGATTATCGTGATATTACATGTAGCATAGCTGTACAAGCGTATAGCATCTAATTACCTCAATAGAGTTGAGATGCCACTGTTTCGGTAGTATGATGCCACAAATAATTTAGCTGTACAAGCGTTTCAAGGGGCGTCTGGATGTGCCTCAGCAGAGTCCCGCCATTTTGTGTGACACGTCCCATAAGTTCTCGGCATCGTGGAAATTTCCAGGAAACGATGTCGGCTTGCAGTCGGCGAACATTCTCCCAGTGATGCCTTCCACCTCCTCCGAGACTGCCAGGTGTACTGACGTCTGTGCACCATCCTTGACACTCTGTTACGAGGAAGGGTACGAATCGTATTATACTCGGCGACAACTTTCTAGGCACTGAAGGGAAAGCTATGGAGTCAAATCACATGCATCCTACCGCCAGTGAAGGTGGTTTCTAAGTAGCAACCGTATTTTCAACGTGAAATATAAATGTTCCCCCTCTATTTTCTACGTGGAGCTATTTGACAAAGTACGCTGCTCACCCTGTAAGACAGTCGTATTTATTTTAATTTATCTGTGGTGACCTCCCGTTTTTGAAAGCGTGAGGAATGCGTGAGGAAATAAAAGTTTTTTTCTCTCTATCTGTCTCTGAAACACTAAGCCGTGTCTGTGTCTACATGAAACGCTGATTTCCACAGCGTTTCATGTAGACACATGAGACGCGCGCCAGGATGAACCACTTCCCGAAGTGCTACATGTGCACAAGCTCCCCCTCCGTAGCTTTCCCTTCAGTTCCAAGAAAAGTTGTTGCCGAAAATAGAACCTGCTTTTCTGAAGGGATCCGTTTTGCATGGTACCATGGTTGCAATAGGTCCTGTTTAAATTGGGGTGTCTACGTATTTTGACACACACACACACACACACACAAACAAACACACAAACAAACACACACACAAACACACACACACAAACACACACACAAACACACACACACACACACACACAGAGAGAGAGAGAGACCTACAAGTACGTGTACGCGTTCACAGGCTGATAGTTTATTATTGAGGAATCGGGCCATTAGAATGCTACACCCCCCACACACACACAAGCAAAAGTTGAAAACAAAATAGTTTTGTCTTCTAAAAGTCTTCTTTTGCTTTTTTTATAATCCTGTTGGTAGTGGGAAATGTATGCGGAACAAAATAATTTACCAGCACTCTGCCAGCAATTAAAGGACCACGCTCAAACATAGTGCGGAACAGTTCTGGCGAAACTTTGCGATACAAAAAACAAAACAATACGCGACTTCTACGCCCTGTGACACGATTTAAGTGTGAATAGTTCTTCCGGTACCTCACTTCCAAACGTGGCGTTGTTTTCCACAGGAGTTAAACGAATGTCCCGGCACTCTTTCGTAACACAAAATGTAACGCCTTGTTCTACGTGCTTTCGAGATTGCAACAGCACATCGACGGCGAGAAAGATGACATTGATAATGTGACGCCGACGTAAAAATGTTGTAGAATGATTTTTTCATCACCTTCCGAGGTGCAGCTTCCCGGCATCTACATATTTGATGATTCTAAATCACCACTGCGTAGTCGTCCACGGCTACCTACTGGGGAAACTGAAGAAGCATATACGGTGTTGTATTTGATAGCAAGACGACGTTTACACTGCGTGAATAAAAGTTGAAAGACTGCAGCTGGTCAGACAAACATAAAAGTGGGCGATGTGATTTTGCATGCATTCTGTTATGAAGAGGTACCACGCATTCTGAATATACTTTGAAAGCAGCGCAAAAAAAACAAATTGCAGCAAGGAAGTAACTTTTTCCTCGAAATAATTGGGAAGCAACGTGAGTACACACATTTTTCAAAATCTCACCTTGCCGAAGCATCGAATACAAAAGTTAACTATTCTTGCGTAGAAGTTCGCAGCTGTGGCGAATTCGGATTGAACGAGTCCCGGATGCAAGCAGTTGACCGTCACACCTGCAACAAAATGTCCCAGATATTGTTGAGACTGAACATTTCATGGCTCTAGCTGGCTTAATACGTGGTATAAAACACGCACAGACTCTGAATGCGTACTTTCATGTGCTTTATACACGCAGAAACATCATCTAGCGCTCTGGAGTACACCGAAAATAAACTTTACTGCAGCATGGACACCGTCAGAATATTTTTAGAAAACTACGGAGCAAGAAAAAAAGCAAAAAAGGCATTTGTGTTTATTCACCGCACTTTTACGTAATCGATTCATTAGTACCTGCTATTCTGTATATTTCTCTTTTACAAAAAAAAGAAGAACAAAAGATTTAAAGAAGAATTTCGGTTTGTTACAGCTGTACGCACCGGTAGCGTGCAGTCTGCTGACACTATTTCCTTTTCAAGTGTTACAAGGAAAGTCCTTGTTTTATGGCGCTAGTTAAAAGACGGGCTAGTCAACAGGGGGTCAGTCCCAATACATTAGGTATGCACAAAAACCAATCAGTCAAGCTGAACCTCTCCCCGACCCATACACTGAAATAGACAGGAGGGCAACGACGGTTAGCCCAGAAAGGCGGAACACTAGCCTGATACAAAAAAAAAATCAGCAGATCCCATGTACCTCGGAATCGACGTTATGCGAAGCATGAGAAGCGAAGGTGACCCTGTTGCAATTTTTTTATTGAGCAACACGTCATGAAATGACTCCAAATACATGTACACACGTTGCAACCACAGACATATGTTGAACAGTTGCAGATGTTTATGTAGCCAGTTGTTTGCACTTGCGCAATTATGTTAACTGGAACATGTGTATTAGCAAACCCAAAAGCTGATATCAAGCGCTGATGCTCGCGAGCATGCTGGCCCTGGACACTGCTGCATAAATCAGCTTCAACGCATGGTAACCCACCACATTTGACGTTAACCCGACGTGACGGCTGTATCAAAGGACTACATATGTAATCTTTATAAAATTAGGTAGGTAGCACTGCAACCACTGTTGACGTTTCACAAAGACTAGCGTCTATTTGAAAAGTGCGGTTCCGAGACCTGGCGTACTCCTCGGTAAAATGCTTCGGTGCCACGCAGAATGCTTGGATCCGATTGCAGCTGGGACTTTGACATTTATTTTTATATTCGTCAGGTCGATGCTACCGATGTCGGGTATTTATTAGCGCACGTGCGTTTAAATTGGCCACATGTATTCTCGTCGTTCCTGAGTAGATACGAAGTGTTAATCACCTGTGGCACATACCCGCATACTAGCGGCACATACCCTCCCGTGTGTATGTGGCACTGTCTGGCGGGAAGTGTTTGACGACGTGTTCGACGAGATGGTTACATTATTCATGTCTTGACCAGGGCGTCATATCCATCAAACCATCTTACCCTCCCATGCTAATTTTGTTGTACGCTAAGTTAATGGGGTGACCACGGGAGCACCCAAACGTAAGTGGATGTGGATAGATAGATAGATAGATAGATAGATAGATAGATAGATAGATAGATAGATAGATAGATAGATAGATAGATACACTCAAAGTCGCCGAAGTTTGCTAAGAAATGTGTCGCATTCAGAAAAAATTGGAACAATAAAGAAATTAGGTGTAGTAATAAAAATCAAAGAGCTATAAAGCGTAGGATACAAAATGTATTTGCAGTTTCATAGGACGCGAGATGCATTCATAATGGAAGCCTTCGTGCCAAATATTCGCACACATTCGCTTGCCGGCGGCAGAAAGAGTGTGGATACCACCGGCTGTTGCAATGTCGTCTTACAATATTTCGCGAAAAAGACCAATCCTTAACCTACTGTCGAGACGTGGTACAATGCAATGTGAATAGAAGCGCTTCCTAGTGAGAAGGCATCATTCAATAGATTAAATGAAACGTAAACGAAGAGGAACATTGGGTCATAAATTATGGTTCCTTTTAGCGTGTGTACTACATAAATATTCTTAATGTATATTGCGCTCTGTGTAAATTACGCTGCAATATATTTACTAAATAGTTACTAACTAACGAGTAACACCAAGAAGGACTAATATTTCAGTAATTCAAGCGATTGGCGAAGTAAAAAGAAAACCATGGATTATTTGGGCACTATCAGATTCATAACTAAGACATGTCCGTGCAAACTGCAGGGTACGAATCATTCGAATTCGAACTTATATATAATGGTTTCTATCCTTACAGGATGAAAAATGTGCAGACCATTCCCGCGATGTAAAATACCACAATTAGTATTCTTGAAGTTTTTATACAAAAATTTTTTCTGACAACTCTTACTCGCAAACTTTTTGTACTATGTGCTGTTTCCGAGTAGAATTTCACCTTCAGAGGTGTGAGGTTTTTATTGATTTTAGTGCTTCAACTTCTTGACAGTTAATGGCTGGAAGTGGCTGCAGTAAATTCTGTCAATCAATTTTTATTTATAAAGAATTCCCTACTTTTATTTACATTAGCTGGGCAGTCTTGAACAATGCTCCCCTCGGTATGAAATGAGTTTCTAAATGTTTTAACATATTTCCGCACTCTTTCACACTCATACAAGAAGCCTTACCAAAGAAGGTAACTTTAGTTCACTAGGGCGACGATTAAAACACTGGCTTCGTTAGCCCACTGCTCATGACGGGAAGTAGTCAAGTCCACCTTGTGTAGCTTGACATACATAATCTCTTCAGAACGCTTTATGATGTAATTGTCAGATATGTCTGAAATTCGCGTGGCACAATTCCAAGGCACTCAGTATTACATTGAAAGAAATAAAATGAATGAATGTGTAATTTCGCTCATTAACCTAATGAGTGTGCAACTACTTACCTCACTATTGTACTACTAGTCAACTTCAGTACGTGCATAAAAAATGAACTGTTAGCCACAAAGTACATGCACAGTTTTTTGTTTTTGGTTCTATTCACTTTAAGCAGAGAAAAAAAATACTTTTCACGTTGGTCCTGGATCGCGGCACGTCGAACAATCGTCAAACATGGTAGTGTCTCCAGCAAAGGGATCCAGTGATTCTATGAAATAATACGCAGCACAATGAAATGAATGACAGCTAGCTGTTCATTCAGGAAGCCCGCAGAAATGTTCACACTGAGCGTTCAAGCCACTCGAAAAAAAAAAAAAAACAGGCTGCGTGTGACGCCCTTTTTAAGTTGGCGTCCACAATTGTGGGCCAAACCTCACGCTAAAATATTTAGAGCTGAGCATGGAGCCGCATACAATTTAGCATGGTGGTCAAGTGCCTTTCATAAGTGACTCTGTGGTCTTACCGGTATCAGCCAGTCTGCGCGCAAGTTCCATCGTAAAGAGCGTCATGTAGAGCTTAGTGCAGGGGTATACGAGGTTTTGCTGGTATTTTTGGAAGCCGACGTCAGCATCAAACGCAGCGAACCAGTGAGCAATAGAGCCCACGTTGATGATGCGGCTCGGCGAGCTCTTCTTCAGAAGACCTTGAAAATTATGGATACAGTAAGTGTTCTCATCTGCAGAACTTTCTTAGTGCAAAAGCACAAAAACATATATTGCAACATAAAAACCTTGCGCGATACAGTACATTATATTTTCAAAGGGCCTAAATGAAAAAATTTAGTATCTTTAGTATATTAATACTACTTTGAAAGGTCTAACAACCATTATTTTGTCACCGCATATTTTATTTAGACAAGAAAGTGAAAACGAAATGTAACTCTCTTGTCACAAACAAAATGGTGAGACCTCTGCATATAAATGTCAGCATAACGTCTCTTCTTTCAATTCTTTTTGTCGCCTTTCGGTGATATTGGCAGAACAGCATTTCATGAAACATGGTGTGGTAAGCTTCTTCCCACCTGAGACGACGACGTACTTTATTTTTAACGCCTAATAACTGCATACATACTTCTAGACACAATCATGACCGTCTGCGTCAGAGAGACTAATGCGGAAACATGGGCGTGGCGTTGGTACTTGACTTTTTTTCATTTGCTCCTATCCTACGTCTTCTCGCGCCATAAATTGTTTAATGTTGTTAAACGGTAATTTACTAGGAGGACAAAATTTGTATTTTTATCTCCGGCTACGTGTGGTCGCTTCCTCCAAAGAAAAAAAGATTGCCCGCAGCTTCCCTCGGGGGAACACTGAGGAGGATGCGGAGCATATAATTGGTTAACGGGGTGTTAAAGTGCGACTCACTTGGGTCGATGGCTCAATTGGTTAACGTGGTTGTGAAATGGGGTGTTAAATTGCGACTTACTTGGGTCGATGGCTAAATTGGTTAACGTGGTTGTAGGAGGGGGTGTTAAATAAGTGAACACGTACACATGTATGCGAAAGGGCGGCGCTGGTCGAAGGGACGTCGATCATTGTGTTTGTGGATTCGATGGCATTCATTTCACCGCGACCTTGGACGTCGACGCGCCGTACAAACTAACCGACGAGCGGCAACTGAGCGAGCGAGCGCCGACCTTGAGTATATATACAGCGCGACGGCGCATGCACTGTCAGCTGTTGAATGTTCTCGAAGCGCGACGGCGCATGCGCGTCCACTGGAGAATCAGGAGAATTGTAGAATGTTCTCGAAGGGGAGAAGCGCGCGTGGCACAGATGGTGGGTGACGGTGCATGTGCGTGTCAGCTGTCGAATGTTCGAGAAGGGGGAGAAGCGCAACGGCGCATGCGCGCGCGTCAGCTGCCGATGCTCTCGAAGCGCGACGGCGCATGCGCGCGCGTCAGCTGCCGATGTTCTCGAAGCGTGACGGCGCATGCACGCTACATTATACATCTAGCGAATGTTCGTGAAGAGGAGAAGCGCACGCGGTGTGTAGAGGAGGAAGGGATGCACAGATGGTGGAAGGAGGAGGAGGAAGCTTGCGGACGGCGCCGCACTACAAGCATCGAGTATTAGATGCTCTGCATCTAAAAAAAAAGACGCTGTTCTCATGTCAATACATACCAAGAAGGAGGTTTGTCAGCAAGAAGTGACCCAAATAATTTGTCTGGAATGTAATCTCGTATCCATCTTCTGTCTCCGTTCTGCTCGGTGGAGCTGCACATTAGCACATTTTATGATCAATACACGTGTCAGAAATTGGATGAAATTTTCATTTTGACAAAGCAAGCTATAAAAATCTGCATGTAAGCTGAAATCGCCCATGCTGTGGTTAAAAAAAAGCTAAACAAAATTTTTTTTGAATTCACAATCTCTCATTGATTGTTGCCTTATATGTAATTTTGTCATTCGTGATGAACAAGCTTGATGTGTTTCGTTTTGGATTGCATATCCTTGCTGGAGTGACCTTCTGAAAAAAATATTTTCAAAACCTTTAAGAGAACACCAATGTGGACCTTACGTAAAAACTTTGTAGGCAACAATTTTTTTTATTCTATACCAGAATTCCACGAGCACCACATAAAATGGAAAATGCTATATTTCGCTTAGCGTAAAATGGTTTAGAAAAAAAATATCTGAATATCAAAAATTTTTTCATCACCGTTGCATGTTTTTGTTTAAAATATTAAACAATTTTCGTTATTCATAAAAATAACCCACAAGAGTTGCGAACTTTTCTGAATGACTTATCATTCAGACTTTGAGCCTGTTAGCACAAGATCATAGAGTTTCGCAGGTTAAAACATCAAAAGTTTTGGACGGGTACGAAGGTTCACTATCTGCTCGTGATGAATATTGCGTATTTAGTGTGACCATAGCTTGGTTCTTTCTTTTCTCATTAACGCGTTTATAATAAAAGCACTGGTATGCGTTTCCCACACACCTGAAAGTCCTTCACATCTCTATTGAGGAAATGAACCATGATGTAGGGCAGCGCATCGTTGGCGTAAGTACCAACTCCCCAAAAAAGAGAGAGAGAAAATTTTAATGCGGAAAGGCAGGGAGGTTAACCAGAAAACATATCCGGTTTGCTACCCTGCACTGGGGAAAGGGTAAGGGGAAAGGGAGGAAGAGAAGCACAAACACACATACACACACTCGCACACAGTAGTGTCACAATCGTTCTACGAGGCGGGTCGCTCGCAGAAACTTCATCAGCGCCTTCGTTGCTTTCTGGCGTGAAGCTCGATCTTTCCGACATTCCAAGATTGACTGCTCAGAAAATGGCTGGTCGTCGAGGCGAGCAAACACTGCTGAGAGGGACTGTCGCTGAGAGCTGTACTGGGGGCACTGACATAAAATATGTTCAATTGTTTCGTCATTGTCGCAATGGTCGCATGTAGCGCTGTCTCTCATTCCGATGCGGCAGGCAAAAGCGTTCGTGAAAGACACCCCAAGCCACATACGGCAGAGAAGGGTCGTCTCGGATCGGGGTAGGCCAGATGGAATAGTAAGTCGTAGGCATGGGTCCAGGCGGTGAAGACGGGTGTGGAGAAAACCGGGCGTATTCCGCATAGACCTTGCGACATCCTGCGCAAGCGTATTAATCTTTGCTGCTGCGTCGCTTCTTGATAGTGGAATAGGTTCCATCACTCCATTTTCGTGAGCATTCTTAGCTGCATTGTCGGCATGCTCGTTACCGATGATGCCGCAATGGCCTGGTAACCACTGAAAAGATATGTCATGTCCTTCGTCTATTAGGTGATGGTACAGTTGTCGTATTTCGAGCGCCAATTGATCTTGAGGTCCACGACGTAGAGTATTGTGTAGACATTGGAGAGCTGGTTTCGAATCAGTAAAAATGCTCCATTTTTGTGGTGTCTCTTGGTCAATCCTGCGGAGTGCGCTGCGGAGTGCCGCGAGCTCCACGGCTGTCGATGTCGTCTTGTGTGACGTTCTGAACTGGATGGTTTCGGCTCTTGCTGGGAAGATCACAGCTCCTGCAGATCCTCCAACAGTTGTCGAGCCATCCGTGTAAAGTTTGACATGATCTTTGTATTCTTCGTGTAGCATGAGTAGAATCATCTGCTTTAAAGCTGGCGCCGAGAGCTCCGCCTTCTTGCGAATCCCCGGCACTGTCAAGCGCAGTTTTGGTCGGTCCAAGCACCAAGGAGGTGTTAGTATCCGTTCCGGAGGTGTGTAGACTGTTGGAAGGCACTCACGGAAAGTCAATACTCTCTTACAGAAGGAGGCACTCGGTCGATCTTCTGGAAGCGAGGCTAGGTGGTGGGCAGGGGCGCGAGCAAGGTGTCTAATATGAGCTCTAAGCACCTCCAAAGTAATGTGCACTGTGGCCGGATGATCTTTGGCGATTGCGATGGTTTCCGCTGTTGATGTACAGCGTGGTAATCCAAGACAAACTCTGAGTGCCTGGCCCTGGGCGTTTTCTATTGTGCGTATACTGCTTTTGCAAGCGTTCGTCAGAACCGGCAAGCTATACCGCAGGTACCCCAGAAACAGCGTTTTGTACAAATGCAACATCGCGTGCACTGATGTGCCCCACGTTTTGCCTCCGAGGAACTTGAAAAGTTGTGCGATGGCCGTTAGGCGCTTCTTTAGAGTGGCCACATGGGGACTCCAGCAGAGATGATGATGTAGGGCAGCGCATCGTTGGCGTAAGTACCAACTCCCCAAAAAATTTTCAGACGCTCAAGGAGGAGAATGCACTGCCATTCTCAAGCAAGTTGGTCAAGCTATAGGCTGCCCTGTCTTCGCTACTGACATTGATTGTGTTCAGGGTGTTGCTGCAAAATCTGCTGAAAAAATGTAACTGCACGTTTTGTTTTTTTCGCGAGAAAAAATAATTTGTTAAGAAGGCACGCAAAGCACAAATTCACACATCCCAGATTGGCTTCAGTGAAGCGACTGATCGGGCTGTGTATGCAAAGGATCACTTGACCCTCGAGAACAATAAGCTGTTTTCTAAGGCCTTTCCACTAAAGAAATAAAAGAGGTGGTCCTTTCTTTGGACAGAAAACTGCCAGATAAAGGCAAGAAGGGCGTGTGACAGCAGGGTGTTCCCCATTCAAGCTGAATTAGATCTGCGCATATTCACGTAGATCTTTTTATTTGCGACTGTGCTGACGAAATTCTACATAAAAAGGTAAACAAGGCTTCACCGCCACCCACAAAAGTTCAATCTTTGATATATTTTAACGATTCCTGCCTCCTTCACTCAAACGCGAGAAGCCTTCAGCGTGATTGAAATAACATCACTTGCTTCATACTTCCCTTTCGATGCCAATTTTTTTCGTATGCATCAACGAAACCCGACTTTGCCATGATGATTATGACATGTTCGGATTTCCGTCCTATAATATATTCTTTCTGTTCAGACCAAACACTATCATTTTTCTTCGACATTTGAAGTTAAACAAGTGACTGGCTTTTTTCCATTCGCTGGCTTTTGTAGTTAGCAGAAAAACAATAATGCATAACAATGTTAAAAGCAGTCTGATCCGACGTTTTGCAAGCCGATGTGTAGTTTAGTCATTCGAAGTCTTACCGAGGTTTGTTGAATAAAAAATTAGTTACATAAATTGCATTATTTAGGAAGAAGAAACATAGTGTGGCTTCCTTCATGCAATCGTCCTCAACATGACTGTTGTCGCATCGTGAAAGTGTTTGGCGGCACATATAAAACTGTGGCCAGAGAGGACTGGGCCGGTCTATATAGTTTGAACTGTTCTTAAATCATGGATTGCCAAACTACTTAAAGGAATATAAGATTTTTTTATGACTAAACAGGACTAACGACTCATACCAATAGATATAATGTCGATGGTAAACATCTATGCATGTATAAAGTGAAGTTTAGTTCACAAATGTAGCCCCGCCGTGATGGTTTAAGGTACCCGGGTGCTGGCCTGCAGGTCGCGGGATTGAATCCCGGCTGCGCACCTGAATTTTTGATGGAGACGGAAACGCTGTAGGCCCTTGTTCTCAGATTTGGGTGCACGTTAAAGTATCCCAGGTGGCTGCGATTTCCGCAGCCCTACACTACGGCGTCTCTCATTATCATATGGTGGTTTTGGGACGTTAAACTTCACATATATATCTAGTTTCACAAACGTATGTTCCAAATTTTTATAATACCAATTATTACTTTTTTATATACTAAGAACAATTCATGGACAGGTATGGGGAACGATTAGAACGTTGTGCACTCACACAATACGCCGGCATTGTTGATAAGCACGTCAAGGCGCTCCTCCTGGGCGACCACCTGGGACGCGAACTGCCTGATGGAGGCGAAGGAGCACAGGTCCAAGCGCATACACAAGGGTCGCACGCCGGTGTCACGCCCAATATCCTCTGCAGTCGCACGAGCCTTGTCGACGTCTCTGCAGGCCAGGATAACGCGAGCCTTGCGCCGGCACAGCTCACGGGCAGTCTCCTTGCCGATTCCTGTACTTCGACAAGAATTCATGTTCCCTTCAGAAGAGTTGTAATAATCGTGGTTCTTTCATAAGTACCAGTGCCGAGATTTATTCCCGTGACCTATGGGTCTGCAGTTAAACACCATAACTACTAGATTACCGTGGCGGGTAGAAAACTGCAATGTACACAGATGCGACACAGGTGTGTATTCTCGAAACCAAGTGATTTTTGCCATTGCTTGGGCTGATGCACGTCACTGTTCGCGTCAAACAGGTAATCTGAGTGCAACATCCCGCCGCTCCGTGAATACTCCCGTACATTCAATAGCGGCTTAGCATAGGAAGGATGATGATGATGACACTGATGACAATGTATTAGATGCTATAGTACCACTCTACGTCATTACGATGGCGACGAAGGATAAGCGCGATCCACACCATACATTCTCTTTCTGCCTTGGATGAATATGAACGTGAACGTGCTCTTGCCAGAGAACCGCAATGCCGACGCCGACAACAAACTACTCCGTTGGCGAGAGCTCTGGAAGCAGCGGAAAAAGGGCAACGCCGACACCAAGCTGCTACCCCGGAGTGGAGGGTACCGGAAGGGGTGGCTTAACCCAAAAAGAAATCACAGCTATCCACGGAGGGAATGATGTAGAGTAGGGCGAAGCGTCCGTCAGCCCGTCTGTGCTTCTGTCCGTCCGTTCGTTCTTGCTTCCGTCCGTACACGTGACCATCCTTGCGTCTACCTATACGACCATCCGTCTGTTCATGCGTCCGTCCGTGAGTCCGTCCATCCATCTGTCTGTCTGTCTGTCTGTCTGTCTGTCTGTCTGTCTGTCTGTCTGTCTGTCTGTCTGTCTGTCTGTCTGTTCGTGCGTCCATCTGTACGTACGTCCGCACGTCTATCGATCCGTCCGTCCATCTGCTAGTCTGTCTGTCCGTCCGTCCCTGCGTCTATCTAGTGAACACACCAAGTACCGCGATCTCGCATCCCCTGTGGCACATACCCGCTTCAGAGCGGATATGTGCCACCGGTGGCTGCGTACTACTACATACATACAAGGGATGGACAGACCCACACCTTAAAGAGCTTCGCCTCTAAAAAACACGTTTTAACACTCTAAGCACGCTTTGTCACTTATATACATGCGTGATGGGGCAATGTAATGGGTGATTTACGGTAAGAACGAACGCCAGTGCTTCGTCCACTTGTCATAATAATATTTGTGGAGATGCGTGGATTTTTATATCACCAAATCACCCACATAGGCATTCTTCTACTTACCTAATTCTCGAAATCATACTGAATATGACATAAGCAATACTTAGCATTTTCAATGGCAGTAATCACCCTAATAATTTGCAACAGGCTATCTGAAGGCTTTTTCCAGCTTACACCTTGAAGTTACAGCGGTAGTACAGCCAAGCTGTCTATGTCTTGGCGAAACAAAAATCTGTAGTTTCCGCGTGCGCATGAGCTCCTTGCGCATACGCACCACGAGAACATTGGCGAATCCAATTAGTCAGCACTAGTCCAATGAAAATATTGTCATGAACATAAGAGACCAACCACGTTTTTGTTTTCGGACGTAAGTAATATGTGAGAAGAATAACTTAGCTGACGCCTCTGTTTTAATCCAGCGATAAGTGGCAGGACCACACTGGTTCACTGGTTAAGCATCTGTAGGGATATAATGGCCGAGGACTTATCGAAAACAGTTATACCAAGTAAGATTGAACAAAGCATGAGAGGTCGACATCTAAAATTTATTTCCAAATTGCATGTTATTTTGCCTGATGAGTGGGAAGAAAATAACTGTAGTTGGCTTTGCTGAAAAAATATTTTTTGATGCACAGTACAGTTATAAGGACGAAGAAGTGGAGAGCCATGCTTACCTAGCTGCTATGGTGTTTTTTTGTGACTTTGGTTATGAGTTGCACCAAATGTGTTTAATCTGAATACCTTAAATTTGCGTAGCAAATAATAGGCACATTTTGGTTTACTTTCAACTAGTTTTTGATTCTCCGGATAGTGTACATAATTTTACTTAAAAAATAGAAATCGTCCCACAAAATGTCGTCTTGCCTGTATTGTGGGTCTATACTTCAAAATAAGTACATGACAGACCAGCCGAAATTCCGCAAAGTTCTCTGCGTGCTTAGCTATAAAACATCCAAAGCCCATATCATTAACAATTTTCAATTAAGAGGCACAATAGCTTCAACTTTAAGAAAGCAGCGTGCAATAGAAAATTGGGACGAGGAATAGAAAAAAACCTTTTTAATAATTCTTCAACTTTCTGCACTTAGGATCCTGTACATGAGCTTTGTATTCAATAAAAACATGTTGCATAATTTCGTTTCACTTGTAGGTACGGCCCGCGGAGTAAGGCCCTTGCGCATGGATAGGCAATTGTAGATTGGACTTCGCACCCACTAAGTTTATGGAATGCAGGCCTATACCTATAGGTTTCTTAAAAAGTAAAAAGCAGTGAAATAGCTGTCGGCTGCCCTGAGGCCGCCAATTTTGAAATGATTTGGTGACGGGAGCGGCCATGAGTGCGGGATCACCGAGCAAGCAAGGGTGGACAGTCCGGCGTGTTCCACTGCGAAGATGGCTCGTTTGCGTGTGCTCAAACGAATAGATTGTGATACCGCCTGAGGTAACTCTAAAGCAAATGCCTTGGAGGGACGGTATTTTATTCGCCCTTTACTCGCATCGCAGCTGTGCGCGCCTTGTTAACACGGTTAAGATAGAAGTACAGACGTGGTATCCATTATTGGCGCTTTTTGTTCTAGCGACTAAGGCACTAAACTGCTGACCAGCAGCACATGGGATTGAATGCCGGACGTGGTGGGTGTGTTTTCAATGAAGGCGATAGTGCTTCTGGCCCGTGTGCCTAGATTTGGGTCCCGTGATCAATTAATTTCGAAATTGGCATCGTCAATGCAGCCGAGATGTATTTCAGTGCTGCTTGTGTTTTAAGATACTTTGGTATTGGCCTGCATTCCACGCGCTTTGCGGGCAAAAAGTTCGACCTACAATTACCTACCTTTGCGCAAGGGCCTCGCTTGATGTTTTTGTATTTATTGCGAAAGCTCATCTGCAGGAGAATAAATGTGTAAAGTTTAAGAAATATTTAAAACATTCTTACAGCCATCGTTCGAATTTGTCGTAGTATTTTCTTTGCTTAAAGGTAGCGCTACTGTATCTCTTCATTGGAAAGCGTGATTTATAAAAGCTTTGGCACTTTTTAAAGTAAGCCTGCTGAGAACGTAATCCAGAGTTCTTGCCTCACTGTCCTATGCCTTTATTTAAATGTAGACGTGCAAAGTGGGTGAGAAAAGATATTCTGGGTTGATTTTCAGGTATTGTATAGGATTATGTACGTCGCGCAAGCAAGCGACAAATAAATGAAGTTGTCGCAGCAACGAGGTGAGCCAAGCGTGGACGGCATTCATTGCAAACGAAAAGCAAGAATCTTCTTTTTTTATTTTGCTTATTAACGCGCGCACTCTTTCGTGCTTCTTGTCTTCCTCTTTTTCTCCTTGACTTCAGTGAGTTTCAATAGCTTCCAGCCCGCTCTCCTCATTGGAAACAAACTTAGAGTTGGTAGATATGTTGTACAGGTCTCCGAATGAGTTTTCCTTGGTTTTCGAACGGCAGGAGTGCCTCTTCTCATCAACTTCGGAATGAAATTCCATGACTTAAGCAAGGTTTCAAAGTGAACGAAGAGAGCGTAAACCAAGCAATACGATGTCTCCTCGTTTCACATTTTTTGTTTACTTGCTTAAACTTGCTCTCTCAATTCCTTCAGATATTCCTTGTTCCATCTTTTCCACCAATGTTTTATGACGTTCTGCCGCTTTCTCTAGATTTCTTCAATTTCGACTTCGTGTTGGTATTCATCATTACTTCGAGGTCTGTATTTTTAGGGGTGAAGCTTTTTATAATGGCACCCGTTTGTCCCTCGTCGCCGTTGTAGCGTGTAACTAGTATAACATTTTGACCTCCAAGGTGAGGCCGGTGAGAGATTTCTTCTGTGCGTTGTTGAAAAATAAAAAAATAATGCTCAATGTACATGCCGATGGCTGCTAATGGAGAATGAGAGACAGGAGCGTTCGGCTTTTAGTTAACGTGCACTCTGCGATCCCGATTAGAAGGCATTGGCATGTACATTGAGCACTTTCTGACAAGAAAGGGTTACTACGTTATACTCGCTGGGAATAACCTCCTTGGTTTTATAAAGGTTTTGCAAGCGTTGGGCCTCAGTGCCATGAATACAGTGAACTGGTATATACCATGAACTCGGGGGGGTTAAAGGTGGGAAGTAGACCCGAAGCGCAAGCCGTAAGAAAGTGTGTGTCACCTTTCGTTTAGTCCTTGGAATGTCCGATGAATGGCGGTGCTTCTGTATGGGGAATATATGATGAAAAAATGCGAGATGGTGGTACTTGGAGTGTTGAATAGATGGATGAACGGACACACAGACAGATGCATGGACGGACGCATGAATGGACACAGGGGCGGATGCATAGACGAATGCAGGGACGGACGCACGAACAGACGCACGCACGGACGGGCGGATGGACGCATGGACGGTCACACAGACGGACGCATGGACAGACGGAAGCAAGAACGAATGGACGGACAAATGCTTCGCCCCACTCTCCATCATTCACTCCATGGATATGCTGCCAATTCTTTCTATTATTCTTACCTATTATGCAAGCCTTACCTATTATGCTTAGCTATTATGTAATTCTTACCTATCATGCAAGCCGGCACAATACGTAGCGGTTCATCTGGTTTGCTGTAGAAATACATAAGTCAACGGCCTGTTGTTAAGCATCGCTTCAACTTCACAGGTTCTTGTTTCCATCTATTCTCTGCTTAGCAGTCTCTTTCGAAGGACTGTCCTCACTGATGATTTCATGCTTGTTATTATCCTTTCATAGAAGCCTCCCACCAAGGCGTTTGTTTGGCGATAAACTTCCATTTTATTCGATCTCTTTGGTTAG